GCATACAGATCTTTTACATCTTTGGTTAGGTTTATTCCTAGGTATTTTATGATTCTTGGTCCAATTGTGAATGGGATCAGTTTGTCTTTCTGTTGCTTCATTATTAGTGTATAAGAATGCAACTGATTTCTATACATTGATATTGTATCTTGAAACTTTGCTGAATTCATGTATCAGGTCTAGCAGACTTTTGGTAGAGTCTATCGGATTTTCCATGTATAATAGCATGTCCTCTGCAAAAAGTGAAAGCTTGACTTCATCTTTGCCAATTTTGATGCTTTGATTTCCTTTTGTTGTCTGATTGCTGATGCCAGCACTTCCAACACTATGTTAAACAACAGCGGTGAGAGTGGCCATCCCTGTCGTGTTCCTGATCTCAGGGGGAAAGCTCTCAGTTTTTACCTGTTGAGGATGATGTTAGCTGTGGGCTTTTCATAAGTGGCTTTTATGATGTTTAAGTATGTTCCTTCTATCCCCACTTTTTTGAGGGTTTTTATTAAGAAAGGATGCTGAATTTTGTCAAATGCTTTTTCTGCATGGACAGGATCATATGGCTCTTTTCTTTTATTAATGTGATGTATCACACTGATTGATTTGTGAATGTTGAACCAGCCTTGCAGCCCAGGAATGAATCCCACTTGACCATGGTGAATAATTCTTTTTATATGCTGTCGAATTTGATTTGCTAGTATCTTGTTGAGAATTTTTGCATCCATATTCATCAGGGATATTGGCCTATAGTTCTCTTTTTTTGCCAGGTCTCTGTCTGGCTTAGGAATCAAAGTAATGTTGGCTTCATAGAATGAGTCTGGAAGTTTTCCTTCCCTTTCTATTTTTTGGAACACCTTGAGAAGGATAGGTATTATCTCTGCTTTCAACGTCTGGTAGAACTCCCCTGGGAAGCCATCTGGTCCTGGACTCTTATTTGCTGGGGGTTTTTGATAACTGATTCAGTTTCTTTGCTTGTTATGAATCTGTTCAAGTTTTCTATTTCTTCCTGTTTGAGTTTGGGAGTGTGTGGGTGTTTAGGAATTTGTCCATTTCTTCCAGGTTGTCCAGTTTGTTGGCATATAATTTTTAATAGTATTCCCTGATAATTGCTTGTATTTCTGAGGGATTGGTTCTAATAATTCCATTTTCATTCATGATTTTATCTATTTGGGTCATCTACCTTTTCTTTTTGAGAAGCCTGGCGAAAGGTTTATCAATTTTGTTTATTTTTTCA